AATTGAATTTATTTTATTTTTCAAATCTTCTATGGGTATATTCAAAATCTTGCTAATTCTGCACCATGCGTCATTCATTTTTGCCTTATCTTTGTGATTACGATGCTTTGCATTCCATAAAATCTCTTCTGTTTGGTATAACTCCACAAATTTAATCGAAATTTCGTTAGTCCAATCAGTCATTTTTGCACAAAACGTTTTGATTTCTTTTCGTTAACTGAGGACTCGCGAGCTCAGGCGAGAGTAAAGTAGGTACGCCTCACCTCGTGTCTCGTGGTCTTTTGACTCGCGACCAAAATACCGACTCAGAGTGGAGCTCGCACGAGGCGAGGCGAGACGATACGAGACGAGACGACATGAGTGAACCGACTACACTCTCGTGCTCGCCCTGCCTCGCTTCGCCTCGGCGAGAGGGTGGAGCTAGCATTAATGAAATGGTATTCAAAAGGTTTTTCCTGACATTGGTAATTTGTAATTAATTAAATTTTACCGAAATCGCATTTTGAGTAGTCCATATATGTTGCAACAAAAACGTTGAATGTCATAGAGTTGAGTTATTAAATTAAGTTAGGTTGCTAACACACACGGTAGGTACATTAAACTCACGAGAGTACACAAAAGTATTAGTGACAAAGTGTAACCGTCACGATTTACTGCAATGAAACGATATTTATTGAGCATATTATGATTTCTACACTCACCAAAGACGGCACTGCTCCGTGCCGCAGACGTCGTCGTTGTGCATTTCCTGCAGCGTAGTCAACACCGCGGACGAAATGCCTCGAACACAGCTTCGATGCGTTGGTCACAGGAAAACCGCGGTCCACCACAAATGACGTCCACTCGACTCGATAAACGTCGACTGTTGGAAATCTAAAGGTGACATAATATTAATGATTTTATTACATTGCTATGCATCAACGTGATGTGTAAAATAATTGTAAATACCCATGTACTGAAACGCCATCGATGTTGTCCACTATTCCGCATATAACGCAGCGTTTGACCATTTTGAATAGTCTATATTATAAGTAAAAAGTAAAAAGTAAATACTAAATAATATGAAAACATATTACATATGTGTTATTTTTAGAAATAATAGATAACCACCGGCTTAATGTACATACAAAATAGAAAAATACGAAAAATTACATAGGTACCCAGCTTTTTACTAACGCAAAATTCCAAGCGATAAAACACGTGTACCGCAATGGTAACGCGCCGAAACGGCCAACGGACTTACGCGTCTACACCTCTCACAGCTAATACGAATGCGGATACTAAAAACGTTACAGGTATTCAAAGTACATTTTGCGGTGTACGAAAACGAATGACGAAAAACGAAAAACGTGTGTAGGAGGTGAAAATATGTTCGTTCGCGATACGCGCTGCCATGAATACACCTGTAGTTTATCTTAATATATATTATTATTGTAGGAGATATAAAAGTCGTACTCACCGGTATGTGAAAAGCGCCCAATGAAAAACAACACAACTCCAAGAAAAGCACCGAATATTATATAATACAACGTATTACTGTATTAGGCTTTTCCGCGTTGATGTGCGTTGTAAGAGCGCTGGTCGCGAGTTGAGGCAGGGCGCAGGTTGTGCGTTTCGCGTCGCCAAAGCTGTCCCCCCGCGGCTCCACTCCACCACAGTACGTGTGCAAGCCGACCCCGCGTAGCGTATCCCGCCATAGTCTTGGAACCGTTATCATAATGTTGGTAACCACGGGTCTAACATCATGTTGGTGCGTTTTCATGTTTTTTCGATCCTACCGCGTCGAACCTTCCGACGCATGACGTATTTATAATAACGGTCGTACGTAGACAATCACTCCTAAGTCCTAAATCGTAATAATTGACAATTTTTAATATTACATACGCATGCATAAACACATACCTACACAATAACACAATACCTATATGTGCACACATGACATGAATCATAACGCAGTACCTGCACATCAATATGAAAATGTAATATAAATATAATAAGACATTAAACAAACATTAATATATTAAAAATCGCGTAAAATATATATCTATTACGGGATTAACAGGCGAAATAATAACGAAGTGCGTAAGGCGGTAAAACTCGAATTTTGAAAAGAACGGAACATTTCCGTTAATCATATTTTTATGACGAAAAAAAAACATGAAAAAAACGGCAAATAGAGCAGTCATATAGTCGTACTATTTTTTAATATAGTTTATTAATATCGTAGTAAACAGTATTTATAATCTGTAGCAGTATTTAACCAAATCGGAATAACCTAAGAACTGTAATATATCAAGTGGGTTGGTTATATACTATAGTATTTATAAAAAATACATATAGGTGCGTTGGGGTCACGGTATTAATAAAAGTGTTAATTATATTTTTTTTGTCCAAACGAATTTTGGTCAAACGAATAATAATATATAAAAATACCGAAAAAAATTTTGAAAAAAAACTTAACACTTTCGTTAAAAATGATAAATGTGACGAAAAAAAAAACTCTTTATATTATCGAAAATCCCGGGCGGCGGGTTCGAACCCACGACCCTCGAGTCAACTGTCAAAACGCCTAACCTACATAGCCACCTATCGAAATGAAAACCTGAGTCAATTCTATGACTCTTAAGCCGCGTCGCGGTGCTCGCTAAAGGCGAACGCCGTTTGGACGGCCGGCAATGTGCTTTTGAGCGGGCTATCCGACAGCGTCGGAGAGCGGACGACCTTCTCCGCCGCCCTCGGACGTATAATACGCTAGCTTCGTGAAAAAAAATCGAACCTCGAGACGCATGTATTTATGCCTGTATATAGCGATACATGCACGGTACCTACTCTCGTTTAAGCGACGCCGGTCCTCCCCGGAACTCGTTTTTGAAAAAGTAGGGCAGCGCGCCGATTATAAATTTACCAGGGAACGCGAATAAGGTCCGAACGGGTCCGCCCGAGGCTCCGGAGGGGGGTAAAACTCGAAAACTTTGAAAAAAAATCGTGTAAATGGGTCGAAACCGAGAAAAGCGATAAGGAGCAGTGATAACGCGGCGACGGCCATAGATAAAGAAGTATTTCCCTCCATTCTCGTTTATAGCGGATTCCTTTTTGTTCACTATGCAGTTCCGATTTAGTCCATAGGGGGCACCCTCGGGTTCACGTTTTATAGTATAAGACTAGATTCCGGTGTTTGTCATCCCGCCTACGGCGGAAAGACTGTGTGGGTGGTGGTGCATCTTTGTCGGCGATGCTGGGTTTTTTGATCTGGGCCTGCGGCGTGAAGGGGGGGGTCGTCGGGTATTGTGTTTTGTCGTGTTGGCAGCACTGGTTAAGCGGTAATTTTTGAACTCGGAAGAGTGTCTAGTCGTAAGTCACGCGATTCAAGTCGATCGTACGACACAGCCGGGCAGGTAGGCAATCCGACTACGTCGGATCGCAGACCATGCACCGGGCGTGTATGCCTGGTTCTGGAGTGTGTGTGTTGAAATCGGAAATTCGGATTCTGGGATTGAGTGTCTAGCTATCAGTCATCTCGGGTGAAAGTCGATTCCCGAACGGACAATCCGCCTACAGCGAAAAGTGCTCGAAACGGCCGTTCAAATCTGATAAAGCATACAGGAGGTAACAAAATTGTATTTTTTTATAATTATAGAGAACAGTTATCAGGTGTTTTATGTTAGGCTTCATTGTAATCAATGTAATCATTGTTATGTTTTCGCGGTTATAACAAATAACTAATAAGTCGAAAAAATCTAATTTTCTGATTGAATATTTTCTAAAATATCCCAGTGTGCAAAATCCAAACCCAAGGACATCGCATAGATGTAATTTTATGATCTGCGATGTTCATAGCTAGTGCTTAGCGATGATCTAGAGATAGTAATAAGTCTGCTAATGCCAAGTCGAGCGATATTGAATTTAACAATCGCTGTGAAGTTATTCTTACCACATCTATTTACCATCATTATGTTAATTCTATGTGATATCAATATCTAACTACCCTGGGTAATCTGTTGGTGATTATAGCGAACGTTAACCTCTATGCGATGTTCAAAAAGTACCTCATAAACTTCTATTAGAAGTCACACTAAATTATTTAATTGTGAATATAGGATATATTTTAAGTACATAATGTATTCAAATTAGATAATGTAGTAATAAAAAAAAAGTTTTCTTTATTTTGAAAATAATAATAATAATGTTAGGTACATATCATTTACACATCAATATATCATTATAATAGAAAACATTCATAATACTATTACATATCAATAAAATATAATTATAACAGAAAAAATGTATAATAATATAGGTAACATATAAAATGTAAATCATTACAATAGAAAAAATGTATAATAATATTACATATTATTATATCATTACAATAGAAAAAAATTATAATAATAGGTAATAGCAGGTTTAGTTTTATAGAAACAAAAAAAAAAAAATGAATAAAATACTTATTGAATAATAAAAATAATATTATGTCTTGCTATTACTGTTACTGTTACAATTACTGTTAAAAAAAAAGTTTTCTTTATTTTGAAAATAATAATAATAATGTTAGGTACATATCATTTACATATCAATATATCATTATAATAGAAAAAATTCATAATAATATTACATATCAATATAATATAATTATAACAGAAAAAAATTTATAATAATATAGATAACATATAAAATATAAATCATTACAATAGAAAAAATGTATAATAATATTACATATTATTATATCATTACAATAGAAAAAAATTATAATAATAGGTAATAGCAGGTTGTTTTATAGAAACAAAAAAAAAATGAATAAAATAAAAATATTTTAAAACCATAAACTAGGTATATTGATATTATAAAGTTATACTTATTGAATAATAAAAAAAATATTATGTCTTGCAATTACTGTTACTGTTAATTTTAAAATGTTGATATAAATCTTTTTTTGTATCTATAAAAGGAAAAAAACATGATATAATTAATAAGTTATTATTTTAATTTTTATGGTTATTAAATTATGATGACAAATTATGACTTAATGCCATAACAATAGCCATGCCATTAGACATTTCTACGAAGAAGCATTTATATTTAATTTCAGTAACACTTATACATTTTAATTCAGATTCAGACGTACTATCAATTATAAAGGTAAATATTAAATCTGATTTAACTGGTATATTGAAAAAAGTAGAGCATTTTAAAGTACAAACTTCAAAAACAATTTCTCCAGTTTTACGCTTAAATATATGTTTTACAGATGCTATTTCATTATTCATTAACATGATATAATTGTTTTTAGTATTTTGTGTACATATAAAATAGTTATTATTATTTAAAGTTACATTTTCATGAAATATAAATCCATGGTTATTAACCAATATCACATTATCACATTCTTTGCCAAACTTATAAATTTCAATTGAAGTAATTTCATCATTGTTGTTATTATAAAATATATTCATTTTTTCAATTATTCGATTAACAGCTTCTTGTAATGGAAATTGAGAATTTTTAATTTGTTTTTTTATTAATCCAAGATAATTTTCATATTTAAAAGCACTAAAGTTGTCTAAGCAACCATGAAGTTTTACATAGAATGACAAATGAATAAGACTATGGACATTATAAGTAAGAAATTTTGCACCATAATGTATCTTAAATTCTTCAACAAATTCAACAATTAACCCTTTATAGGGCAAGGGGATATATATTTCCCACCCAAGAAAAAAAATTCTAGCCATGTGTGGTCACAGGTAATATTTTTCCCACTTGTTTGAAAAAAACCGTTATTTTTTTCTGTATACGACAGTGTCAATTATATGTATTTGATAACATTTTTAATAAGAGAAATAAATCGATAACGATCAAAGTGGGAAATTATCTACCCATTGCCCACAGGCGATACACTTTTTTTCCCTCCAATAAATTTCCTATCAAAATTGTTATTTGTTTTAATTTTGATAAATAAGCAGCTTAACTTACAAAGTCTTTGGTGATATTAATTTAAAGATAACATTTTAGCGCGTTTTTCTGTGTTATCTTACGGTTTATTTGAAATGTATTTGCTGTGTTATCAATTTATAAAAATAATTGAATATTATTTTCAAATATGTAGTTGTGGTTTTGAACTTAGAAAAAATACTTTCAAACTTCACTAACAATCTTGAAGTAAGTATATTCTGAATCGTTATTTCATACTATTTCGATAAATATACACTTTTGGGGCCAAAAATGACCCACTTACAAAATATTTACGTATAATTATCAATTTTTTTCCCAGATGCTATCAGAATATGAGATTTTAGAAGAGTTGAATGCTATTACCGATGATATGGCATTCGATTCGGAAGACGGTGGAGATTCTGATGCAGAAGACTGTACCACCAATGCAAATAACTCTCTAAGTCAACCAGTATGGCATTTATCTACCAGATCATCAGGTAAATAAACCAAATAATTATTTTTTTAATTTCTTATTATATTTAATCAAAAGTTTTTTTTTACATACAGGTTCTAGTATGGCTGAAGCTGAAGTGCAGGTGCCTAATGTATCAAATATTGAACAAACAAATAGTAACATTCCTTCTACTTCTCAAGGTATATTTCAATTTATAATTGTTCAATATTTTGAATTAGATTTTTGTTTGTATTTGTTGTATATATTATAAAAAATAAAAATAATTTGGTACAAAAATATTGTATTATACAATTTAGTATATTATATGTACCTAGAACCTATATAACATTATTTATTATTTTACTAAAATAAATTTGTACCTACCTATATTTATGTAAATGTATGGAATATGTTATTGCAATAACTAATGTATTGTACTGTAAAAATAAAACTATGATGAAAACATTAATATAGTTGGTACCAATAGTTATATATAATCTTTAACATAATTAAAATTACTATTAATTAAATCTAATTATATCAAGTAGTATTCTAATTAATTATTATAGTTGTTGGTAAAATATATTGATAGATAATTATATTTTGTCAGATATACATAATGATTTGGAGTTGCTAGAAGATATTATGTCCAGCTCAGATGAGGAAATGGATGACAGTGATAAAGATAAAGATTATGTACCAACTCAGCAACAGCAACTACTTATAGATTTAGATGAAGTTAATGACTTACCTATTGATGTAAATATATTTCTAAATAATGATGATCTTGAAAACGAACTCATAAATGTAGAAGCAGACAATGTTTCAAATCAAAATATAAGTGGTGAAAACGAACTCATAAATTTAGACGTAGACAATGTTTCAAATCCAAATATGAGCGGTGAATTTAATTTTGTAAAGTCAGGATTTCCTCCAAAAAAATTTAAAAAAGTTAGATTTAGAGAAGAACAAGGTCCAGTAGACAAAAACATTTATAAAATGCCGCCAATAGAAATATTTCAATTGATGATTGGTCCTATATTTCAAACTATTGTTCAACAAACAAATTTATATGCTCAGCAAAAAAATGTTAATATCAACACAAGCATTGAAGAAATAAAAGCATTTATTGGAATTTTAATTTTTATGGGTTACCATAGCTTACCTAGCATCAGGTTATATTGGTCAAATGATCCTAATTTTTTTTGTGAACGTGTGGCCAAAATCATGCCTGTAAAAAGGTTTTTGAAAATTCTACGGTTAATTCATCTTAATGATAATTCCCAAATGCCATCAAGAAATTCTTTGGATTTTGATAAATTATATAAAATTCGTCCTATGATAACGCATTTGAAAGATATTTATCAATCTGTATATCGCCCATCAAGATACTTGGCAGTCGATGAAAGCATGGTAGCATATAAGGGACGTTCCACTATGAAACAATATATGCCCATGAAACCTATCAAAAGGGGTTTCAAAATATGGGCATTGGCTGATTCTTATAGTGGTTTTTTACTGAATCTTGATATATACACTGGAAAAAAATCAAATGGAATACCTGAGTATGGACTAGGAGAAAACGTTGTGTTATACTTGACCAAAAAATTGAAAAACTTATTTTACTGTGTTTTTTTTGATAATTTTTTTACCAGTATACCTCTAATTTTTAAACTTTTGTGTGATGGTATATTTGCATGTGGAACATTTAGAGTAAACAAAAAGTATTATCCAAAACACCTTATGAAAAATGATGGTAAATATACTTCTGGTGACATTGAATATGCCCAAAGTGAAGATATTGGTATTATGCGATGGAAGGATAGAGGAAGTAAACCAGTGACACTTGTTAGCAACATGCATAACTCTTCAGATACATCTACAGTACTGAGAAAAAATGGTAAAGGGGAAAGGATTCAAGTAAAGTGCCCTACTGGGATATCAGATTATAATAAATACATGGGAGGCGTTGACAAATTTGATCAATATATGTCTCCATACTCAATTTCTCAAAAGTCGAGGAAGTGGTGGATTAAACTTTTTTATTATATGGTTGATACTGCTATTGTTAATTCTTATATTTTATATAAAGAAAGTTGCAACAAGAATAAAAAACACATTTAGAGTTTCGATCGAGATTAACGGATGAGCTTATTGGGAATTTCTCATGCCGGAAAAAGAATACATCTTCCCCCCACGAACAAAGATATAAAAAAAAACAAAAACTTTCCATCGCTCATGATTTTACAGGTGTTGATCATATGCCAAAATTCATAGATAAATATAGAAGATGCAAAATGTGTAGCACTAAAGCAAAAGAAAAAAGATCCAATATGATTTGTTCTACATGCGACATAACACTATGCAAACAATGTTTTGTACCATATCACAAACCTACCTAAAATTGTTTATCCCTATTTCATTACTTTTATTATTTATATGGAAAATTCCAGAAGTTTATTGTTTTATTTTACTAGAAATGTATCAGGTTGTTGATTTTTATTTTAAAGATATATAATAATTATTATTTATTTTTTATCAATTTTAGTTTTACTAAGTATAAGTTCAATTGTTTTTTTTTATTATTATTTATGAATTAAATACATTTCACAGGGATGTGCATTACAGAAATGTTGTGTTTTTAATGTTTTATAACATATTTTTTACTTTTTTTATTTTTATTATATTTAGGTATATTAGTTTGAATGAGGCTTGTATATTTTTCTAAGTAACCGCATAAGTGGGAAATATATTACCATTGCCCGTTCAGTAAATCCCACGGTCGTAAAGGTGCAAAGGGAAACTATTTTCCCACCACTTTTCCAATCATGCAAAACAAATTAAAAATTTTCCAATATTTTTCCCAAAATCAGAGTACTCCATACTGAATGTATACCAATTTTCAGAAAAATCTGGTGATTTTTTTTGTTCTGCCCTATAAAGGGTTAAATTGTGAGCTATTTCATTATTCGATAAACATAAATCAGGCGTAATTAAAATTTTTATAGCACAATGCAACTTCATAAAATGTAAATAAAAAGCCTTTTTTAATCTTTTTTTTAATACTAAAGGGCCAGTAAAAAGTAAAAAATTCCGAAATTCTGTGGCTTTCCAATGTTCAATATCATTTAATGGCCTTGGTAATCTAGCAAACTCCTTTGGAAAATATTTTCTTAAACTTAACATTTCAGTATCTATATCTTTACATATACCTATAGGAATCCTAACTGATTGATTTCCTCTCACCCAAAATTTTAATAGCCTTTTCATCACACCTAAACAAACCAAATGCATATAGTCTAAAGGCACGGCTTCAATAATATTTATAGGCAAACGTTCCAATGAACTATTTCCTTTATGGTATTCATCGTCAACTTTATTTCTAAAACCGTAGTCGGTTCTCAATGATGAATTTACACCCAAAAATGTCATTCTATGATCCATATATACTCCTTCCTCATTACATGAATTGCATCCTACAGTGGAATTAAAACTTTTAACATTTAATAAAAATCTCTTGGCTGGCGCATCACAAATCACTTGATCAATATTTACACTTAGTAGTTTATTATTTATTGATATTCCCCTATTAATCAAATCTAAAGCTTCTTCAATAAACAAATTTAAAAAATCTTCAATGGACTCTGGTTTTTTCTCTGAACTATAATAAATACCAACTGCAAAAACTAAAAAACGTATTTGAGGTACATTAGTTACAGAGCAAAGAATTGGCCAAAATTGTCTTTTTGAGCTTTTAGCTAATGGCAATCCATCTATATTAAAGCCTAAATTAATTTCATTTATATTTGTCAACAAATGTTTATTGAAGTTTAATAGGGGAGACAACATTTTTTCCAAGCCCAAATGAATATATGTTCCTGGTTGTATGTGTATTATATTATGTGTTCTTGGGGTATTCATCAAAGTTCTCACATCCTTCGGTAAATCTAACCCTTCTGTTCTTAATATACCTAATAAACTATTTACACTATTTTTAGATACATTATACTCCAATACCCATTGTTGTAGTTTTTCTTTAATAGTAGGTGTTTTCACAAAGTTATTAGACAAACTTTGATTTGATCCGGAAAAAGAAGATAGATTTAAATTTGATTCAGAACACGAATATAACTGATCAAATGTAAAACTTTCAAAAATCGTATTTTGAGGTTGAACATTAGTCTCTGAACTATTTAAAGAAACAGTAGGTATTTCAGATGTACATACTTCTTCATACGGGCTGATGTTCATTTGTTCTGTCATTAACTTGCGTTTAAAATGTCTTAAAGACATGGTTTCAATTGTGGTCCTTTTTTTTCGAGGAATCTATAACAAAATAAAATACATACCCAAATAGTAAAGAAAGAAATACACAGCGGGAAAAGCAAAACCACATTTTGGGAGCTTTTAATTCTTGTGGAAATTTTTTAAATAGAACAGGATAATTTTTTCCATAATATTTGGTGGGGAGAGGTGGATTTGTTATGAACCACCCAAAACTTTACATCTGACAATACATATTTTTAAGTTGAGAAATTCATTTTGAATAATGATAACAAATCTTTCCTAATATAGTACTAAAATAATTGTTCTATTAGGTATACGATAAGTAGCTAGATAAACTCTAACACTAATCAAAGCATTGTTGAAATAGTTTGAATTACATTACCGTTATCTGTAATGTCTCTCTTCAAACGCTGTGCAGCATGCCTAAACCAGTCTTTTATGAATATTTCGAAGGAGTTCTCATCATTTTGAAAAATGCCAATACAAATGTCTAAAAAATATAGTGTAAATTAAGAATACTGAGAAACAGTAATTGTATATGGAAAAATTACTTTTCATTGTCTTAATCATTTCGAGTCCATCAAGGCGTCAATCGTTTTTAAAACCTGTCCATGAACAATGGGAAGCAAGTTGGTTTGAAAATAATTTGGTCAAAACTCGTTTTACAAAATGCTTTGCATTCGTTCCGCCGATAGAGGTAATTAAATTTACCTAAAATAAAATAAATATTAATTGCTTAAGTAAAGTATCAATAATAATATCAACATATTCAGTATTTTTACCAATTTTGATTTGAATTCATTGTCAGTTTTTAATTTTTCTTCTAAATCTTTTAATGCTTCCAATTCTTTCAAAGGAAAATTATTTAAAAATTGGTATCGACTGTTGTTAATGGCACACTGTTTGTTTGGGTTTTTTGAAGAATATTTAATATAATGTCCAATTTTTTATCAATTCTCTCCATGTACAAAGTATTTGCTGACGTTACCTTTTCCATTTTATTATAATCTATGTCGATATGTTTATAAATTATAACAGGAACAATATTATTTAAGGTGCTTTCATAATATTTATAAAAATTAATTAACCGAAATACCTGCAGAATTAATATCATGTTTAGAATTTTTGGTGGGCCAATAACTTGAAATGTCTGCTAAGAAAAAAATAATGTTATTTATTAACACAAAATACACTATAAATTACAGTTATAAATATTGTCATTAGTATACATAATGGACTCATTATTAGAATTTTTACCTGTTTTATTAATTATGTTGTCATAATTTTGATTAGACAAAGAAGATGAACAATTTTGTCCTTGAACTAAATTAAATCATAAATGGCACATTTTAGAGTTTTAGTTGGTTAACAGCACATTAAATTAACATAGAATATTTTTATTAATCACCTATGTTGTTAGCTGCAATAGTACCACTTGTAGAGGATGAAAATAATGATACGTCAACAGCTAAATCATCTATTTTGTAATAAAAAAATATAAAAATTGGACAAAGTTACAATACACAAAAAAAAGTTATAATTTCACCTGTATTGTTATTTGCAATAGGATCAACTTTATGAGTTGTAGAGGGTGAATAGATTGTAGTTTCTTGTACTAAATTGAAATATAAGTAATTTATTCTTCTCAATTACTCTAATAATAGTCACAATGTATAATATATAATATATTTAATTACCTGTGTCATATGATAGGTTTGGTGGTATTCCATCCATATTATACAATATATTGACAGCATCTATAATATAGACATAAAATTATAATAAAATAAACAGAATAAACATATAAATATAAGTAATCGAAATAGATATTCCATACCTGATACATTATTGATACCAACATTTTGTGTTGTTTTTGAAATACTGAGAGGTTCAGTATCACTATCGGAACCTAGAAAATTATAAATATAACTTGCATTGTGAATTAAAATAGTTCATATTTAAACTAATAAAAAGTTGCATAATTAATTTTATAAATGTATTAAAATCTTAATATCTTAAAAACATAAAATGTTTATCCCATATAAAGAAGGTACAAAAATAAATTTATACATACTATCATCATTAGATTTATGGAAAGTTTTTAATATTTTTCTCCTATTTTCTTGTCCCATATCACCTATATCAGTTTCCCCACCTGATGTTAGATATATTTCAACTTCTCTCGAAGCAGCATCTTCATAATTATCTTAAATGTAATTGATTGATAAGGTACATACCAAAATAAATACAGTTTAAAATATAAAAATGAAACACTTAATATATCTATACCTACCATAGCGTTCAACAACTCTAACTGGATGAGATGACCATTTAGAAGTAGGCAATGCAGCATTTCTCAACATGGTGGGGGATACTTTCATATTAGGCCACTTGCAATAGTATGAATCGCCACATTTTGACAGCCAATTCATAGGAATGACCGAATACTTATGTTCTTTTGGAAAATATCCAATAATCCACTAAAAGATATTGATTATGTGGTACAAGTTCACGAAAAAATCATTAAAGACACATTATTTTATTAAAACATGCATTTACCTATAAATTATTTAGCTTTGTACATTCTTATGATATAGTATTTTATACCTATTATATTATGCAAGTAGGTATTAATATTATATAAATACAAAATTATATAGCTACCTAACTACGTATACCTCAATAGAACGAAATCATAATACCTTAATAAATAAATAATAATAGCAATAGGTGTTAATGTAAAATATCAATATGTAAAGTAGGTTGTATGTATTGCTATTGACTATCTAACCTCTATATAATTATAATGAAATAAATAAATAATAAATTAGTAATTAATAATAAAATATAGATTATTTTACATAGAATAGTGTGTTGGTTATCATAATAGAAAATATATAAAAATATACAACATAGGTGCCTGTGATGGTGAACTTGTTCCTTCCATACTTCAATAAACAATTATCGATTTATCAAATTGTATTAATACCTATATTTAATTAATATTTATTAGTAAATATATAAGTATATAGGTAACACTAGAGATAACATAAGATGAAATTTAAATTATGGCCATGGATAACCCGACGTTAGTAAGTCGCATTGTGGTCTGTTCGACCATGTAAAATGTTTCAATAATAAAAAAACGTTTCATACACTTTTATAAATATTATTTAAACAAATAATTATTTCAAACAATTTTTACAATTTATATGGGTAATATACCTAGTTAAAAAAAGTTACTTCTGAGGTTACTTCCTTATTATTTAGGTAACGAATATTAATAATAATAAAAAAAAAGAATGTAGGTACGAATTATATGGAGTCTCATGGACCGCAATTTGAAGTTTTCAAAAACACTCTTGGCAGCCAAATTGTTAAATTTATTTTATTATCATAGTATTTTTAATAATATGAGTAAAAAGTAATTGAGCATCAATGACTGAAAAAAAAAACGTTTTAATCAAGATGTAAAAAAAGTTGGATAATTTTCACCATATCGAGACTAACGTCGAGTTAAATATTATTAACACAATATTATATACCTAGGTACTAAAATCAATATTAAATAAGTACTTACGTATTTAACTATATTCCAAATAAAATTGGACATCGGCAGACGGCAAACGGCCAATATAATATTAT